ACCTACCTATCTATTTATAGGTAAAGCCATTCCTAATGGATGGCTAGGATCAATTTGATCCAACGGTCTATATTTCCTCTCTAGAATTCTCTACAATTATCCATACTAAGATATTTACAAAGAATTAACTAGGAGTCTCTAGAATAATCTACAAGTGTTAGACTTGCTAATTATCTAGAATCATCCATGATCTTCTAGGTGGTTTCATGTTCCATCCTTATCTAGAACCTTCCGGATTAGTCTCAAGACACCCTTGTTCTAGATAATTCCACCATCTTTGTTATGAAACGAGCGGGTCGTGACAGAATGCTCCGATGCTCATATATCCAAATATAAACAAATGACTCAACCAAGAATATGCATGCAATATGACATCGTCAACTGAAAATGCTTTATTCGTAGGATCAATTGAGTAGATAAAACTGAAGAATGAGAAGATGTTGAAAGTAAAAAGTAAAGGTAGTAAAGTAGAGAATGCGATCTTGACATGAAGATATCTATTGATTCAGACCATATTGAAGGTATATATTTAAAACTTGAAATTTTCAAGTCTAGTAAACAAGTCACAGAATGCATACAGCAATGCCAGTTGCAGCATCAATCAAAATCACTCAATTGCACAAATTTGACCATAAGGAAGGATTTCTAGCATTAGGCATAGCTCACAATGATAATATGATGGGCATATAAAATAAGTGAATTAATGAATCACTTGTGATGCCTCAACACTCCATATACTATCCAAAAAATGGCCTATTCCTTCTCGTCATTTCATGCAAAGATTACTCGTCATGTTCATGACTTAGAGAACACTTGTGAAGTTTGAAAGCTCACATAACTCTGAAACTAGATAGATGTTGAGGTGTGAGATCGATATATAGATAGTACTCCGTGACTCCGTCATTTGTTTTCTCAGTGAAATGACATCTATTTTTCACTTAATCTATGCTATCTGGTCATTCCCTGATCGTGGTTCAAGAAAAAAAAGGTGAAATTGATAAACTGCTAACGCCTTATAATTGACTTCCACACATAGGTCATAGGATCCCACTATTGATCGTGCTGCTAGAATCCAAAGTGAAATTTGTTGATACACAAATAGTAAGCGCTCTACTACTAGATATAGTTCGAATAACCAAACCACTATAAATCTAGTTTTCACATCTCTATTTTCCATCCTTTCCCATGTCCTATTTTCACGGGATGATTTTTGGGAAACATAAACATTTGGTACTTTGCCTTCATATTTGTTTTTATGCTCAATTGCATTTAACGTCTAAACTTTAACAGGGATTTCAAAAGTTTGGAAATTATTAGAAAATCAAGAATTCGATTAGTTATCTGTTGGCCGCTTCTATATACTCATAGGCACCTTATAGATGAAAGGTGGCAGAAAAGCCAATTCCCATCAAACAAAATATATTCAAGAGTAGAAGAGTAGTCAATTATTGAAGTATTATACCACCAATGGAAAAATTTGTTGGTCCCAAACAACTTATTAAGGAAGGCAAGAACTATATAACAAAGCGAAATGGTATTGAAGCTTTAAAAAAATTACCACCACAGATATAATATGAGTTTAATATGTTAAGAACGAAGTGACGTTGTAGTTTTAGAAGGTTTGACAAACAATTTGGCAATAATCACAACGTAGGACAAAAAGATAGAGAGGAGTGATTCACACCGAGTTCATAGTGATTCAGACATTTAGTCTTTCTCGGTGTAGATCCAATACTAGCAATTCTCCATTAGACTTTGAAAATTAACACTCTTGATAATTCAGCAATCCTTTCTAAACTCTAGAGTGTACAGAGGAACCAATTTCCAAAATCTACAAAAAAATTAATAATAATAAATAATTAAAAAAATGAAAGGGGATAACTGTTTTGAAGATGATGTAATTCAACAGAGGAATAGGGGAATACTTTCTGATGATTTATTGAATACAAACCGATGGTATATATAAACATACAATCTCTCTAATTATGGTATGTTAATTTGTCTATTTACGGTATAGCTACGTTACTGTAATTAGGAGCTAATTAGCTACTAATTAGCTCCTAATATTATTCTGTAACACTCCCCCTCAAGTTGGAGCATAGATGTTAGTCATGCCCAACTTGTTACAAAGATACTCAACCCTAGTCCCATTTAATGCCTTTGTGAAGATATCCCCAAGTTGATCTCCAGTCTTCACATAACCAGTAGAGATTAAATTTTCCTGAATTTTCTCACGAATGAAATGACAGTCAACCTCAACGTGTTTAGTCCTTTCATGGTCTACTGGATTTAAGGTGATATGAAGAGCAGCTTGGTTGTCACACCAGAGTTTTGATGGTACCGAAGGCTTAAATCCAACCTCGGCTAGAAGATGTTGTATCCACAAAATTTCACACGTGGCATGTGCCATAGCTCTGTACTCTGACTCTGCACTAGAGCGAGATACAACATTCTGCTTCTTGCTCCTCCAGGACACAAGATTTCCACCAACAAAGACGCAATATCCTGTAGTGGACCGTCTATCAATTTTAGATCCAGCCCAATCAGCATCTGCAAAACCCTCAATACAAGTGTGTCCATGATTGCTATACACTATGCCAAGACCAGGAGCTCCTTTTAAGTAACACAGTATGTGTTCCAAGGCTGCCCAATGTGTTACTGTAGGTGCAGACATAAATTGGCTGACAATACTGACAGCATGAGCAATATCTGGACGAGTCACCGTGAGATAGTTTAATTTCCCAACTAATCTCCTGTACTTTTCCAGATCATCAATGAAATCACCATCATCTTTTGTACGATGTACATTGGGAACCATTGGTGTGCTACATGGCTTGCCCATCTTTCCTGTTTCTGCCAGCAGATCAAGTACATACTTCCTTTGAGACAAGAAGATGCCTTTTTTGCTTCTAGTTACTTCTATTCCCATAAAGTATTTTAGTTGGCCCAAGTCCTTTGTGTGAAACTTGTTATGTAGAAATAACTTGAGAGAGGAGATTCCTGCACCATCATCTCCTGTAATGACAATATCATCAACATAAACAAGAAGAATGATGCCAGCTTCTGACTGTCTATAGAAGACTGAGTGGTCACATTTGCTCTTTTTCAACCCAAACTTCTGAACCACCTCACTAAACTTTCCAAACCAGGCACGAGGACTCTGTTTTAGACCATACGAAGATTTCTTCAGATAACAAACTTTTCCATACTCCCCCTGAGCAACAAACCCAGGTGGTTGCTCCATATACACCTCTTCCTCGAGATCACCATGAAGGAATGCATTCTTGATGTCCAACTAGTGTAAGGGTCAATCTTGAGAAGCAACGATGGATACAAATAGGTGGACAGAGGTAAGTTTGGCCATCGGAGAAAAGGTATCTGAATAATCCACTCCATAAGTCTGAGCATATCCTTTTGCCGGCTTTAAGTCTTGCCACAGATCCATCTGGGTTGACCTTGACAGCAAAGACCCATTTGCATCCCACAGCTTTCTTGCCTTTAGGCAGATCCACCAACTCCCATGTGTGATTGTCATCTAAAACATGTATCTCCTCAAGCATCGCGTTATTCCATCCAGGATGACCCAAGGCTTCTTTCACTGTCTTAGGCACAGAAACTGAGTCTAAAGAGGCAATTAAAGAACTAGAAGCAGGAGACAGATGGTCATATGAAATAAAGTTAGCTATGGGATAAATGGATTTAGGAAGGGTGCACTGGCGTTTACCTTTGCGAAGACTAATGGGAAGGTCAATGTCATTTGGAGGATCAGATGACGAAGTAGCCGATGCAGGACATGTATCATTGGTCTCTTGCCGTCTGGAGTAAACCTGAATAATAGGCGGCTTTGCTTGAGCAGGAGGTTGTTCATGAGTGCCGGGAGATGTAAGAGAAGTAGTATCATCGAATTGCTTAGTAGGAGCATTGGGATGGATGATTTGGTAGATTAGCCACTCATCTTTCTCCCCCTGACTTGTAGGAATGGAAGGAGAGGAGAAGAATGGTGTATCTTCCGAGAAAGTCACGTCAGTAGAAACCAGATATTTATGAAGATCACGAGAGTAGCATCGATACCCTTTCTGAAGACGAGAATATACCAGAAAAGCACACAGATGGATGTCCCAACTGACAATGTGCTATAACTGGAGAGACGGTACTGGAACAAGCAACAGATCGAGGCACCCACGCATCAAGAATAAAAAGACCATCAGATACATATCCTTTACCAATAATCTGCTTCGTCATAAGATCCTGAAAAAAGCAATGATCAGGAAAAAATGAGATACAACAGTTAAGATCCTAGGTAAGTCTACTTACAAAAATCAAATTAAAAGCAAGTTTTAGTAGACTTAGAACAGATGACAAGGTAATAGAGGATGTTGGTTTAACAGTCCCAAATCCCTCAATGTTATAGGTTGACCCATCAGCTATGGTAACAGGAGAGGGAGCTTTGTGTGATCGAAAGCTAGAGAAGGTATTAGAATTACCTATCATGATCTATGGCACACGAATCAATCACCCAGTTGTTTGAAAAAGAGATAAGACATGTTTACCTGACTCAGCAACGGCAGTAACTGAAGTGGATTCCTTCAATGATTCTTGATACTGATAGAATTTGGCAAACTCGGCAGCTGATATCATAACTGTTTTCTCGGAAGATGAACTAGGGACAGTAGCAACATTGGCAGTCTGAGTTCTCTGATTGCGATTCTGCAATTTCTTACAGAATGGCTTGGTGTGGCCTGGCTTGTGGCAATAGTAGCACACAACGTTGCTTGAATCATTGTTACGGTTATCAGTAGTTTTGTTTCCTCTTCCCCTGTTGTTCCTCCTCCCATACTCATTTCCCCCTCCTTTGGCAACAAAAACATTATTTTGCTAAATATGTGATGTATTTTTAGTGCGTAGAACTCTACTGAAGATGTCTTGAAGAGAGGGAATTTCGGAGCTAAAGAGAATTTGAGATTTGGAAGTCTCGAATTCGGAAGGAAGACCAGCCAGGAAACTCATAACAGCCATTTGCTCTCTTTGAATTTGCTGCATTTTGACATCAGTGTTGAAAGGCAATAGCATATTAAGTTCTTCGTACGTCCTTTTGAAGTCCATGAAATAAGCTGTGAGAGACTTTGTTTCCTTTTCAGCGCGATAAAAAGCCTTGCAAACCTCATAAATTCGCTACATATTTCCTTTGCCAGAATACAAAAATTCCAGATAATCCATTACTTCTTTTACAAATTCACAGTGATTAATCAAACCAATTACCTCACTATCGATAGAATTTCTGATTTGTAGAAAGAGCCGTGCATCTTCTCTCAGCCAGCTTTGTTTGGTATTATCTATAGGTGGATCTTTGGTTAAGTGATCATCTTTGTCAATGCTTCGTAAATAGACTCTAATTATCTTACTCCATTCCAGATAATTAGTACCATTCAATTTATGTTCAGTGATTTTGGACATAATTGGAATCATCTCACTCGTAGTAGTCATTATTATTTAATAAAAAGTCCCACAACAATAGGCAAATGTAATACTAGTGTCACTTATAAAATAATCCAATCCAAACAAAAAACCCACAGACAAATAATCCAACAAGCCCAAATGAAAAGGCCACAGTAAAGTAATCCAACCCAAATGAAAAGTCCACAGATAAATAATCCAGCAGGCCCAAATGAAAAGGCCAAAGTAATCCAACCCAGGCCAAAGACAAAATCAAAGCAGAACACTGTACCGGAGAAACTCACAGAGTCGACACCGAACAAAAATGGAGAAATACCTTAAACCGAAGGCCGATCAGCCAGCAAGGTACCGGGATTAGGCCGGAAATGAGCAGGCAAACGTGATCGGAATTCAAGATCAGTCGTCGTGCTCGTTACGCTCTACAATGGATCGGAGGTCAAAATTAGCCTCGCTTAGAATCCAGCAACCAGACTTTGGGAAATGGCCTTTGGACACTTACGCCTCTTCCTCTGTCGATGGTGAGACAAAATGGTCACCAGGATATGACCCACGACCAAGACCTGATTTCTGGAGAAACCAGCGAAGAACAGAAAAATTATCTCTGAGCCAAAATAGGCTCTGATACCATGATGTAATTCAACAGAAGAATAGGGAAATACTTTCTGATGATTTATTCAATACAAACCGATGGTATATATAAACATACAATCTCTCTAATTATGGTATGTTAATTTGTCTATTTACGGCTACGTTACTATAATTAGGAGCTAATTAGCTACTAATATTATTCTATAACAGAAGATAAAAGATCAAGCATGTTTGGTTTCCTCTTGAGAATGTAAGAACAAATAAATTTTTTTACGCTCTTCTTCATATTAAATCTCAACAAACAGCCTCTATTTATAAGCGGATTACTAAACTTGTCACCAGGATGGTTCTAGTTCACATAAGCTAGGAAGGATGAATCCTAAGTTGTGTGTTTGGTGCATATTAAAATGAGAGAATGCATTTTTTGAATTAATGGGATGAGAAATATGTGGTTGAAAAAGAATGAAAAATTATTGATGTGACGCAAAATATTATTTTATTGAAGAATATGTAGTTGAAAATGAGTAGAAGAATGAGAATGAAAAAAATAATGTGGCTCAAACAGGAAAAGTTTTAGACCAAAAAAAATGGGGCTTCAATAACTATTTGAGGCTGATAAAAACTCAACTTAAAGCTTTGAATACAAACTTCTGAACTTTATAGTTTCACTGAAAGAAAAATGTTTCAAAGCCTAGCAGTGCAGCCATTTACTAGTTATAGGTCCTAATTATGAGTTATGACAAGTTTTATCCACTTATAAGCCTTTTTGAAGGTGTGCTCAAAACCCAACCTAAAAATTCTTATGTGACATCTTAAATCCATAAAAATATAATTATTTTGACCCTGCAATGCTTGTTGATGTTGCATCTGATTCGACTTCCAAATACAAGTCAACATTATAGGTGCACTAACTCTTGTCATTGTTAAGGCTTTGGTGATTGGTTGATCAATTTCTAGAGTTCATGTAATAACCCGAAAATTCCTACTTGACATTAACCTAAGTATAGGGACTAGATTGTTTATAACCATAGGTTAAGGACCATTTTATATAGAGACTAAGGTTTAGGGGTCAAGTTTTACATCCATCCTTAGATGAGGGACAAATACCCTTTTATGAAAACCTTCCTTTTATTAATTATGGAAACTTCCTTATGAAACATTTCCATTTATTTATTACGGAAACTTCCTTATGAAACATTTCCATTTATTTATTACGGAAACTTCCTTACGAAACCTTTCCATTTATTTATTA